GGGAAGAGAAAGAAGAGATCGAGATCACGTACACACGGTACACACACACACGCCGCTGACCCTTCCATGATGCCGCTGCAGCAGCCGTTGTTCGCGCGCTCGGTAAGTGTGGAAGGTCGACCAGCGTGGGCACATCCGCCTCGTTGCGAGGAACGCGATTCAAGACGATCGGTGAACGGGAAAGCTCGGCTAACGGTCCTGGCCTCAATGGCGGCGCCCGGAGCCGACGGGGAAAGGCGCGCGTATACCTGAATCGCTTTCGGTGTTCGCGTTTCGGAAGGACTCGTTTAGTAGCAAGATGGCGTGCCGGAGCCTCGAAGCTATTCCGTCTTTTTTATCGTTTCATCTTCCAATGTTCTTCGTGGTCTTGGATATCACGTGGATCTGTGGACTTGGAATGATGAGGTTTAAACCGCGTACCAATTTGGTTTTTTGACGGGCTTCTTATCGAGAGACCCATGCCGATTTTGGAACGTCCGAAGAAGGTACTGTAGTATGGCGGAACATTATATGCCCCGCAACATGCAAGTCTGAAACTGCATATTCGGGTAAAGTTACCATGGAGGTATAGAACAGCTCGCTGCCAGCCCTCCCACCAACAGCACCGCACAGAGCCACAGGCTAGTACTCCGAGCATTTCAAACATGCACATTTTTGTCCGTCATTTTCTAAGTGTTCAAGAGGGTATACATCTCCGAAAAGGGTTATAAAAATCACCACGGGGGATCAGTATACGCCGGCTCGTGACACGATCATCTAATAAGCAGCCCGTGGTAGGCATTACGCATGCGCGCAAAGAGCCCTTTAAAATAGCGAACCAATTCTGGACAAAGAAACGACGAAGAAATACGGGGATTGGTGAGGGAAACATCGGGACTCCTCGGTAGTTTCGGCGAACCTCTATGGTATTTCGTTCCAGCTTCCAGACAACTTTCGACCCACTCCATAGCTGATCGGTCGGGACTGCGCCACCCACGCCGTCGCTCGATATCTCGGAGTAGGCGGGATGAAACCCCGAAACCCAGCGGGTGAACTTTTGTCCTGGTACCGTACACAACACCGTTCTGTCTTCTGCTTCGAGGTGGGCAGGGGAAATGCCCTCCTATACGGCGCATGCCGAGACTACGAAGTTTGGGCCTTATAATCGAATGCCACGGCGAGGACATTGCAGGGCCCCCCTCCAACAGATGTGGGCGGAAGGGAGGGAGCGCCCACGCGGCGAGTTTCCGCTCCAGCGTGCTCCGTGCTCGGCGGACGCAGACACGTGTGGGCGCGCGTCTGGCGATGGCGGCACGGAAGCCGACCAATATGTCCCCCGCCGGCGTCTCCGGTCTCAAGGAGTATCCTCCATTCCTCAGCGAAGAAAGAGGAAGAGCGACAAGGATATAAAACGTAGGGAGGTTCGCAGTTAACCCCCCGCGGCGCTTGTTTGTTTACAAACAGGGCTCTCTCCTGCTCTCTCTCTCCCTCAAACGAAGTAGGAAAATTTTGAGCTTGAGGTGTCCGTTCTCAAGTGAGTCGCAACATTTTCCTGTTTTATCTTCCGTAGTAAGTAGTAGAGCGTGATCTAACGTTTTTGTTCAAGCTAGTTAATGGGATCGTGGAAACTAGTATGATTTTAGGTGACGAATATTCGTGTCCTATATATGTGACCTCCTTCGACTAGAATTGATTGTGCACTTTGTGTTCATACCATGGTATTTTTTCGTCACCGCTAACACGCGTACAGTCGTTTCTTAATCTTGACAATCCGATGGACTTATTCAGCGAATTCGCTGTTTACACGAAGCGCTTGTCGCTATTTTCTGAATTGAGTATATGTTGGTTCCTATCTAGATTTCTTTTGTTTGCATTGCTCTCGTCCTTTTTTTCTTTCTTTTTTTTGCATGTGTTTGTGTATTAAAGTGGGGACCTGCTTGTTGTTTTGGGCAGGCTTGTGTGGTAGTTGTTAAAACTAATCAATTACTTTTTCGATTAATTTTGTTATTATTTGAGTACCTTTTGTTGGGAAGTGATCGCAAGAGTAATCTAATGAGCTTTTTAAATACTAAAATTACTTGCTAGTGTTTTAACCCCCCCCCCCCCCCCCCCCCGTTTTTCCTAATGGCGCTCTTTGTTTCTAGAAGTTTCCTGGTAAGGAATCCTTCTACCAAGTCTGCCAAAATGTGTGTATTCAGAAGATGATGTAGTTTGTACTTCGGTGATTTTGATCCAATAGTAGACAGTAGGCGGATCCATTATTATTATTAATATTAATAATAAAGCAAAGGTAGCAGTGGCGGAACTGCTAGCTTTGCGCCTGCTTCATGAGTGGTAACTTTGGCGCGCCCCCGAGTGTCGCACGAGCTTCAAGTCGTTCTAAAAAGAGTTGACTTAGTGGTTTTCAATGACGCTCGGTAAGTTTCTAATTGTAACCATATGCCTATTTTCACTACTTAAAAAGTTAATGAACGAATTTTAATTAGTTAGCCGACTTATCGCAAACATTATCCATCCACATAATGTCCCCCTGGTCGTATAACTCACCTGCGCAAACCGGATAAGTGTAACTTTCACGGCTTTCTGTAAACAAATCCGAAAAGTAAAAAAAAAAAAAAATACTATTCCGTATTACATAGTGACGCTAATAAAGCTACGTAATCTATGCATGAACTCTGCGTGAAAGTGCAGAACAGGACATCGGCGATTTTTCGCATTCTACTCATACACGGTAGCGTCGAAAACGAAATTTTGTTACCCATTTTGATTATTCGTGTGCGGACATTCCACCGTCCTCGTAGTTTGTACCAGAGCCATTCAGTTTCGAAAAAAAAAAAAAAAAAAAAGTTTGCTCCTCGTTTGTGTTAGTTGTGACGCGTTTTGAACCGGCACTCTAAAATCAACGACACATCAATCTTCCCCCCCCCCCCCCCCACACACACACACACACACAAAAAAAAGAAAAAACTGCGTACGTCGCGCCTTCTCGAAATGCACAAAAAATTCTTTCACGGCCAACAATCATTAGGCGCATCCGGAGAGTCTGAACTTACGCAAGGTCACACTCGCTATTTTTGTCTCCAACCGCGAATTCCATTAGAACACAGCGAGCGAGCTAATTGCTCTCCAAAAGAATGAGCACTAAACGGAGGACAACAAAACGAAATGAAATTGAAAAAAGAATAGAGCGCTCATATTCCTGCTTGCGTGCAACCCCCAACGTTCCTTACTAGCTCTCTCTCTCTCTCTCTCTCTCTCACAAACGCACTCTCTCTCTCCTAATGAGGCTGCAGATGCACGACATAAACGTCTTCCGGAGTTGGATGAAGAAAAGAAGAAGAAGAAAAAAAAAAAAAGGGAAGGAGAAAACTAAAGGCGAATCTTTGTGCCAGAACCCATTTTCCCCAATATGGCGGCCGGCTGCACGGGCCAGGCAGCTGGTGTCAACATTGTCACGCGAGACAGCCCAGCTTGTCTCACGACCGGAAGTAAGTCACGCACAGCTTGCGGCTCGAAAAACAAGGACAGACTGTCCCTTGAGCGCCTTGCGTCGGTCGGTCTTTCCTCCGAAGACTTTCTTCCGTTCAGGGACATTCCGCCATGGCCCCTCTTCCTAACCAGCGAAACCCGTCGTCGCACTGCATGCTAAGACACCAGACAAAAGACAATGTGCAGATGCGGGGTGGGAAATAAAGATCAAGATGATTTAAATCGTTATATAAATCAGATCGGGTTTACTATGACGAAATGAATCAAATTATTTCCTATGTGCGTTTGTTTTGTATTTAAATCTCTCTCGATGAGCATTTGTTTTGAATTTAAATCGAGGAATCATCCAGCAAGAAATTGTTTTCAGTGATCGGACGGTATGATCAATCAATCTGTCGTGTTTAGAAATGGAGTGTCTATGGTGATTAAAAAGCACTATTTTATGGCTACGGCGATTTAAATCACATTAATCTGATATAAATAAAATAAAACTGACATAATAAAAAAATCATGTTTTCTTTTCCCCCAAGCCCAGGGTTTCCCTCGCAGTATCTGCCAGGGTTTCTACCCTGGCAGATACTGTCTCAGACTGTTCGAAACATACAAATGTACGAAGCAAACATGTTTCCGACATATATCCTTGAGGCCTGTTCGCAAGTAATTCTGCCATCATGTCTTCAGCGAAAATCTTGTCTTTTATGTGATAACCGAACACGCTGCAAAGTTTATCATCTCTTGAATTGTTTAAAGGCTAGACGAAGAATGCTTCCGGTGGCAGATTTGTTTTTCCGCGCAGAAACCGGAAAGAAACAATGCGAGACAACACACGTTGTGGAGTTGCTGTTATGATCACTGCCTATCCAAGTGTCAAATCTGTACCCCATTTTTTTTCTTTTTTTAAGTTTTGGGAGGGTTTGACGGGCACCGCCGACACAACACGGACATAACGACGGGTCCCAGCACAATGGGTTTCTCGTGTCTTTCGAGCAAAGAACCGGCCCGGAGAGAAAAGAACGCGGACGTTATAATTAATTGTGGCGAACAAGTCTCTGCAAGTCTCTGCAAGTCGCGGAGGTAGTCCAGTCCGCTGTGTGATGCAAGCACGAGGCTCGTACGATTACACCGTCAAGAAACAAGCGAATATGCGCAAAGTCTGTGAATCGTTCCGAATGTGTAAACGTCGCGAGTGTGCAAAGGGCGCGTTCAGAATAATTGTAAGCGGTAAGTATCGAAGTATACCGTGTAAACATATTTGACGCGCTGCCAGTTCGATCCAATTAAACAATACCGAAGTGTCTGTGGGTCCCCAACCACCCTTTCCCTCTCTTCTCGGAGAATGAGTCACTCCGAGAGTCAAACGCGTGCCACCCTCATAAATAATCGCGCTCGCAGAATCACGTATGAGCGGCCCGCAAATTCGATGTCAACAAAAAACCAGTCCGAGGTCGTTGCGCAAGAGGGGTACCTGTCCGTGAAATGCAGAGTGCAACTGTCAAAGCGAGAAATTGAAACGTCCCGCGGTTATTCCTCACCTGCATCCGTTCTGATCCGAACGCCTTGCAGACGGGGCATCGCTTGGCGGACGGCGGCCTGACCGGCAGGATGAGGTGATCGTCAACGACCGCCCGACGGGACGGCATCATGGACTTCCGACGGCGGATTCCTCGGAGAGCGACAGCCGCGCACAGTCGAGCACCTCCGCATCTGCCGGTCCTCCGAACCCAAATAACAAACTTGAACGGCCCGTCCCGCGTCCGGCCGGGAGAGAGAGAGAGCGGTTCCTCTCGTTGGAGTCGTTCCTCCTGTAGCTCCGCTCCACCTCATGGTGGACCGCTGTGGACCTTACCAGATGTTCCAACCAATCCAGCGCTCCGAACTTTAGGTGTAACATGCACCTCGCACGTATTTGAGCTTTTTTGTAATTTCTAATGTCACGTGACACTTATACAACATTTGATTGGATCTGATGGTTTGTAGAGTCCGCTACGGTCCGTCCCGAGGTGAAACGGAGCAGAAAAGAAAAGCAAGGCCGCCACGCTACAGGCCATAGCAGCGGAAGATGTAAACAATCCCGCAGCGTTCATTTTCGTGACTCGCGCAAGCTCTCACTTACCCTTGGTCCGCTTTAAAACCCTATGAGCGTTGACGTCACGGGTGTGTTTTTGCCCGGTTGAGAGTCACAGAGATGAAAAGAAGGTTTGGCGCGCTAGTGGCGACATCTGGAGGAAGTGCGTTCATTCGCTAAAGTTTCCGTTGCATTCGCGCACGTCGTAAATGCGAGAGCGCGCGAAGAATACGGGCTTATGCAAACTGGTGAGATGAACCGCTTGCACTGGCCTTTTGTATACGCTCCTAAGGAGAGACAGAAACAGGGGGTAGGGGACAGGAGACAGGAAGAACCAAATTCGTAACTTTACTACAATTTTCTTATTTTGCTACGAAGTTTAGGCAAGTATTTTATAAAAATCCCAGAAACCTTTCCTCTTTCTGGCTGGTCTCGCATCCACCACGTTAGTTGGTTGGTTATTTGGTCGTTGGTTAGTTTTAACTGAATCTATCTTCGTGGTCCGTATCCCGTGGCCTATGCTTGAAACTACACAAATCAGAAGAAAAAAAAAATTCGTTTATGTCCACGTTGACGCTTTGTTCAGGTACGCAAATAACCGGAACGAATGATGAGGCGACATGGAAGAGTATCCTCGCATAGTTATCGCTCACATTTAATTAGTAGGAGTGTGTGCTGAGTACCTGACAGCGCAGGTTAGTATATTACCTTTTTGCCATGCCAATTTTTTTTTTCTCCAAAGTTTGAAACGCTTTTTTTGCGTTGAGTACGAGTAAACTTAAAACAACAAAACAAAACAAACTTAGTACCTCAAAACTCTATCCCTTTTTATCTTGCTTAAATAGTATTCGCTTTCCAAGACTGCAAGTACGGCCTCAGGGCGCCGAGATCTTTCTCATTGGGGTGCGCTTGGGCGCGTCATAATCTGATTACGACGCCTTGCTAAGCCGTCATAATCGGATTATGGCCGCGCCCAAGTGAAACTACCAATGGCGAACACATATGGCACACGATCGCTGGTTTTTCACGTAAGTTTTTTTTTTTTTTTTTGCAGTTAAAAAACTGTAATAAGAAACAAAGAAAAAAAAACTACCAGTGCAATGAACTAGGTCCTTGTGAGGCAGTAACTTAGATGGAAAACGTTAGCACTGCAGTATGCATTGTGACGGCTTGAAGCTGAGTGTTGGTTCATGCTTGTTAAAATGCCAGCTGAACGTTTGAAGGACACACACACACAGACGACCAAAAAAGCAGACACACCGCTGGACTAGCAACTAAAACTGAATAATACACATATTCCCACATACACACTCTTAAAAAAAAGGACTAGTACTTCGTCGTTTTTGGGGACTAATTCGATGGCACTGAGAGTGATCCCCCAAACACGGCAAAACCCCGGTTTAGTCCATCCTTTTTTGTTTAGTCCCTTTCCATTGATCCCTTGAGGTCAAAGTTTTGAACCGTTAAAAGGAGTGCTTTTGATCCCTACAGCAGGGCATCAGGGACTAAGTTTAACTCTTCAGGGTATTCATTAAGGCCTGTTCACACATGCAGCGGAGCGCTACAAGCAAAGCGCTGACCTCGCGCTCAGCGCGTGCTGACGAAAGCGTTCATCAGCTTTGTTTCGCACCGTCAAAACTGTTGCTCATGGCAGACAATAGGGAGTTTTAGCGAGTCGTTTTTCAAGCACACGGTTCCGAAATCACGAACGGTACAGCTGGTCCGTTCCGTGAAACCGTACGTCCAATTTGACATACTTTAGCGAATCGTGAAAGTGGCGCGACCGTGTAAACGATGATGATGATCTTGCTTAACGGTGGCGCCATCTTCTAGTAAACATGTGAAGCATTCTGCAATGTGCAAATCAGTGGCGAAGGTGGCGGACACCGTGGTGGCGGCTCGTGTTTCCGGCGTACGACTGATGTAAACAAGACAGCCGACGTAACATTTGCCGGTCGGAATTTCAAGAACTGCGAAGCTAGATAGAGTAAAAAATGTCTGAACGACCGTAAAGGTATGTGGTGTGTCTCCTTCATCTTGAACTTGAGCGATCGTGAACGTTGTGTGCCATCGAACCAAATCATTTCGTCTGCTCGCGGTCGCCACGGCAGCTAGTCTGCCCGCAGATCGCTAAAATTTACTAGCATGCGCAGTTTACAGAATTCACAATCGCTTACGATTGTGAGCAGTTCTCGAAATGATTTGGTTCAACCTCTCAAATGAAGCAGACTAACAGGACGGCAAATCGCCTCCCGCTGTCCCTAGGCCTAACGCTCGGCTGGGTCGGCAAAGGCGGTCGCCGAACCGACCGCCATCTTTTTTTTACCCGAGTCGTGAACGGTGCTGGCTGCGTTCCGGTGACGACTCCAGCGGCCGGAATGGGAGAAACGAACGAGAAGAGCCTCCCGACTTCCCGAACGACTCGCGCGCGCATGCGCAGTGGCGTCGCGGATGCGTTCGAGGGCGAACCGTTCGTGTGGAAACGACCTGCTAAAACTCCCTATTAAATAGCTGACGACACGTGAGCAGCGCTACATCATCGCTTCGCTGCATGTGTGAATCGGCCTTTATGGTCCCTTGAGCGCCGTCGTGCTTATAATTGGGGGAGTAACTTTGATCCCTTTGGGGATCAACAATGGTGATTGGGGGACTAACTTCTTTTATTGGGGACTAAATTTCGTCCCTTTGGGGCGAAATTGCCACATATAGGGATGATATTTATAATGACGGGGGAGTCATTTCGTCCCTTTGAGGATCAATTTTGACCCTTTTAGGGATGAATTTTACAGTAATCAGGGAGTAAATTTCATCCTTTTGAGAATCAGTTTTGACCCTTTTAGAGATGAATTTTATAGTAACGAAAGAGTAATTTTCGTCCTTTTGTGGACGAATTTTGACACTTTTAGAGCCGAAATTACTAGTAATGAGATCCTTCAGCTGTGAATAGGAGCGAAAGGTTTGCGGGATTGAACAGCTTCCTATTCAGAAAAGGCAGATTGTGCAAAATGTTTGAAAAAGTATCTCTTCTGAAAAGTTGCGCAAAGTGTCGTTTCAGAGCAGGGAGGTGTTCAATACCGCAGACCTTTCACTCCCATTCACAGCTAAATATTTTAGTACATCTGAAAAGTCGCACACCTTTATTTGAAAAAAGCAAGCCTTTGTTGTTAAAGAAGCTGCGAAGACTGGATATGCGAACAACACTCGTAGAACTTTCAGGCAGGCTTTAACAGCTAACATCACCATTTTACGAAACACGTTGCACCAGCTATCTGTAGAAACAAAATTAGCACTTTCATTGTGGAAATGTATTTATTCTAGAACTACACAACACTGAAAATTAAAACAATTGCACATCCCAAGAAGGTATACAAGAAAATACTACCATCTTGGCACTGAAGAATTTGCCGAAATTTTACATGACTAGCATATATATAGGCATCTACAATGGCTCTTAGTGCAGCGGAACGAGCCCGAAAAATTTGTGCCTGCACACTAAAAGTGTAAGCATTCACTGAATGTGCATGTTACCTGTTGAAATTGTAAGGAATTTCGCCTCCTTCCTGTGAAAAATGAGACCAAATTGCCAGGGCCTACGGTGGACATGCTTGCAGCGTTAGCTTGTAAACTGCGACGTCATTTTGTTCTAAGCAGAGAAAGCAGAAGGCGATCTCATCTGCTCGTTGTGCCTACCGGGAGCTACAACCATCGCTAACTCCATCATCTGCAGACATGACTTCTATTGACACCGGCCAGTTTCTTGGTCTTATTTTTCATGTGAAGGGAGCTAAGCTTTGAAATTTCTGCAGGATGGTGTTTTGGACGATGTTCAGGAAGCTTGCAAGCTTCCTGAACATCGTCCAAAACACCATCGAGGGGCAGGGCACTCCATCATTTCAAAATGAGGCCGGCATCAACTTTAGATAGCTTTTTAGAGCTTCTAAGCATCTACCTTAAGGCGACGGCAGTAGTACATCAAAATAAGCAGTACGTAAAACGAAGCGGTATCTGCATAGGATCCCGGGTAGCTCCCTGCCTCTGTGATCTCTAGCTCGCAGCATGCGGCTCTGCTATCCAAGACAACTTAAAAGATCCCCGAGAAGTGGCCATTTTTAGGTATGTTTATGATTTTCTACCTTGTGAGGTTAATGAAGCAACCAACGGATGTAAAGAAGCAGTCATGACGTGTTTCGATCAAAGCCGCGCCGATCTTACCTTCACCCCATGAACTCACCGTTAACAACTGCATAAAATTCCTGGATCTCTCCTTAGAGCTTAAGAAAAGACATATGTGCTGGAGATCCAAAATCCTGCAAAGGGTTTCTTCCTTTTAGCTCCGAACATACAAAAAAAAAAAAAACAGAAAAGTGAAAAGAGCAGTTGCGACCACAGCGCTCAATTCCGCCCTTAGGAGGTCATGCATGTGAGCATAAAGTGCGGCGGAGTTTCGCGACGAAAATCTCCAGTCTCCAAGATGCTGGCTACCCTAGGACACTCCTTGTTTCGATTTCTGAAAACATATGTGCAAACATCAAGCGCCAACCTGAAGGAGGTGGAACAATAACAACAAAGCGAGCACCTCCTTATATCCACCGGCTCACCCATCGACTAAAAAAGATTGCTGGCCGACAGGGCGTACAGGTGATATGCTGTGCCCCCCAAAAGGTATACTCCGTGTGCCGGAAGGT